CTTTCTGTCTGATACATAAATTGTCTCTGAAAAAAACAAACAACCAAATTACTCGAACCAATCAATATCAGTAGACATTAAAGTATCGATTAGCATAAATGGATTTAGAAAATTTAGCCAGTGAGATTTGAGAATAATATGCATATATGTACCGACAGTGACTCATCGATTGTCGAATGAATAAAAAAAATAAATGGAAAAACAACTCAAACATTCGAAGTGTCTGACTCACTTAATCGACCGAATTTCATGTCGATTATGTCAATCGGGTTGTAAACAAAAACAGACTAAGTCTACGATTTTGGGTGAATGTTACTATTATTCTTTTTAATCACGTAAACAAAATGAATCGTTGAAAATCAGGGAGTATTGAAGAGCTGTTTCTTCCCGGTTTGATACTCATCAGCAGTACGCACTCATCGGGATATGATACTCATCAGTGACTCGCTTCAGGATGAAGTAGCCTTCAATTCTAGTGGGAAGTCGTGATAAGTGGGGTCTGCCCTGTCGGTAATGAGGAAAAACACTCGATAGCGATCACACTAGCTGGTGCGAGTTGCGCTAAGATCATGAAATGACGGAAGTTAGAATTCATGGGCTAGCCACTGGATCAGGTTTGAGTGGGTGATTACACTACCTTGTAACAGGAAGGTCCCAGGTTGTAACCCTGACGGTGGCTGCTTACTGACGATAAGTTCCAAGCTAGGACAGAATAACTGTTCAGTACTCTCTCATTTTCAAGGGTCAGTTCTCTAACTGATAGCAATTCGCGATCAAAATTATGAAACAGATCAAATCCCTACAAGCAAACTCTTCAAGACGAGTTTTGTTTAGTTTGAAAAGTATGCCTTTAGTGTCTGACAGAAGATATTTAAGTAAATTTTGGGTTTGGTCAGGATTTCGATTAATTTCAGCGTATATCTCTTGAAAAACCACCACATCAGTAATAGAATCAATGAAAAGCAAGAAGCATAGAATTGCTATTGCACCCTACTTTGTAAGTTTTCAGTGTGTGGTGTGCACCTATCACCTCATCAGGGTACGAACTTGGGACCTCGACGCTACAAGGCGAGCACGCTGACCATTGGGTCATTGGTTTGAGATTCAGTGACTTTGACATAGTGGATCTGACCGGATTTGACTTCTGATTGGAATTGTGAGATGTGCGTTCTATAACCACTGATGAGCTGAAGACTGATATTTAGATGCTGGGTTCTGCAAGGGGTTTGAGTTCGACCCCTGGAAGGATTGTGCGTGCGCACTATTGAATGATCTTAAACTAGGATGAAGCAGCTGTCCAGAGTATCTTGGTTCTTCAATGATTTTCTAACATATATAGGTTTGAAAACAAAGTGTTCACTGAAATTAGTCGAGATCCCTATAAATAAGAATGATTTGGACAATCTTTGTTGTGAACATTTCATGTTATTGGTTGGAAGATTGAACACTTAAAAATGGACTAGTGTTTCGTAGTAATCTGCGGATATTTCAGCAATGTACATTTTCAACTAAACCAAAAAAGTCCTAATATTGCAGAATACTTTTCATGCAGTAATCCTTAAGGCTGAAATCACCTTCAATTCAGGAAGTCACATATCATTTTAGCTGAAATCCTACAGACTGCGTGGATAGTTCTTTAGTAAAATGCTTGTGAAACACGCGGAAGGTTCGTGTCTGATTCCCAGCTGATGCACTCCTAAACCACGCGGCCTGCTTCAAACTTGGGCTACCAAAAACTTCCATCTCTCTATTGCACATATTATCTCACGTTTGGTTTGTTCTAATCGATTAACATATGACCTCTAAGGGTATTATCCTTTCTTGCGTGTAATTAAAATATTTACAAGCTCCTGACTCACAATTTCCCACTAAGCTTGAAGAATGGCGTGATTGAGGGTGGCGTTGTATCCCGATACATGATATAACTGTTCTTCAGTTATGTCCTTGGGTCTCAAAATGTACTTCTGAACATCTTACAATAGCCTTTCAGCTCGGAATAATAGATTTCTTGAAGGAGACAAAGCAGATATATCATATAATATTGACGGTTTCTGCTTCAGCTCAGAGAGAGCATTGTATCACAGGATATACTGTTCCTAAGGGGACATTGCCTCAACCAAGTCCTCTTTAAAATTGTTTTTTTTTCAATAAATATAATATCAATACAAGTGGAGACAACAATAAGCAAATCTCTGAGAACATTTAGTCACAGTTAATGTCCCCAGAAGAGATATGTATTTAGTTCATGAAGAATTAGCAATTGCCACTCCACACTTAAGTTAGCCGTAAAGATGCTAACTAGAAGAACGCTGAGGGCTCAGTAACTAAACCATCCAGCAACCCCTAGACTATCTAAAATCTTCCAGCTCAGCTATAAATATCCCCCATTATTTCAATAAATATAATTTTTAAATACATGCTATCAGTTATTAAAAGTTAAAGATGGCATTTTCTAAATTATATGATCTAATAATTTGGTTGATGATAGTTAGAATAAACATCCAGGAAGTGCGTTTCGTCTTATTTGCGATTCGTCAGCTGAATATACCTCAATTTTCTGTGTGTGATAGTATAGATAGTTGCAAGCTATCGGTAAAGCGTATTTTCCTAAACTTGTATCACTTAGTGATACACCGTTTCTAATTGCTGTTTTGATTAGCCAAAACTTCAATCCTGTTTTCATATTTTTGTCAAGATTTATGACGTTACGTTTACCGACATTTCGTTACGCATGACATATTCTCTGAGTTCACGTGTAAGTACTGTTTTATATTTGAAGTGAAGTATTTGCCGTGGACGTGTACAACTAGACAGCAGTGAAAATGTCCATTTTTATCTATTAATCTCTCTCAAACCTAATGTGAACAGTACAGTCTGAATTGAATAATTGAAGACCACTCGCACCAGCCTGTAATGCTGCCTGGCCACCTCTAAGTAGTCCAAACACTACACAGTTTTTCAGCCCAGCTAACAGAAATGAATCAATTCAAAACTAACCAAATTCTGGCTACCTGCTTAAGCGAACAGATAAAACATGAGATAAAATTCCCTATTGGAATGTGTCACAATTACTCTATTTCAATTTGTTTTAATTATTCAATTACACTGCTGAATTGTAGTCGGTATCTATTAACTTTTATTTTATCCCTTTGCGTTCTGAATAGAACATAGGGCTTCGATCTACAGCTTTTGAAGTTCCGCTGTGTTATTTTTTAAGGAGTGGGATCGCTAACCCCACGCCAAACCTTTCTCTCTTTACTGGCCCTACGACCGGCTTCGTGAGGTTTAGGAGTGCGTCAGTTGGGGATCGAATCCCTGACCATGTGAGGAGTGACTGGTGGGCAATCTGCCGCCGAACTACTCACGTGGTGTCAACCTGCAACGACTGAATTTCCAAAGGGTATAAAGAAAATACATTAGAGGCTATTAGAGTGTGACATGCATATATATATGATATGATACCAATTACTAATTTACCTAAAGATTCTACACTTGCAGTAAATACTTCGCTATAGAACATGCTGAGAATCCCACAGTATGTATTAGTGCATTTTCCAAAATGAAGCTATTATCATTACTGGAAAGCTACCTAGCTCCAGGCAAAAATTAACTATAGGTTGCTATAGCAACCAAAATTACTCAGAACATTATATCTGAGCATTTGCCATGATCTTAAAATCAATATGGGCATTCTAGTGCCAATCAGGTACTTGAAAGATACACAGATGAGTGAAGGTTACTGCATACAGTTACCAGTACCAAAAAGTCACAGCTTGATGAGGTATACTCGTAGCTCAGACGTGGTTAACTGAACTGTGCGCACTTGACTAACGGGTTAAATACTCGAATCCACGATTCTTGTAGAGGTTTAGACAGTTAGCTAATGTTACAAGAAAATATCCATTTTATTGTTCGGGGTAGAGAAATGAACATGGGTGTTTCCTAGCTAAGAAATCACGTCTGTTGTTCTAAAGCTACGCTCACACACACACACAAACCCTAGAATTATAAAACATACATATCTACAATTTCGAATAAGCGGTTAATAAAAGTAGCGCCGATATTGAATTTGTTATCTTTAACTTGTTCAAAATTCAATATCAATGTTTCATGTTTTTGTTTACATATATATGAAAAGGAGAATATTGTAATAAAAAGCGAAGGCTTATAAATTTATTTTTCTTTAAATAAGAGGGTGTTTTCTTTACAAACTAGAAAAAAGAAATCAAAAATATTTCTTCAAATAACAAGATTTCAGAAGGGTCCTTTTCACCGCAAATATTATGATTTAAACAAAAAATGTCGGTAATTCAAGAATTCAATGAAATTTAAGGAATTCGTTATTCTTTTAATAAAATTTATCATAAATTTCATCAATACATAAAGTCCGTGGAATCAACACAGACATAAATGCGTACACTAAAAAATACCTATAAATGTCAAGCAATAACGCCCATGTTATCTAATTCTCAACAACTCGAGTTTGACTTAGCCGTCACTTTTATTCAAGGAACCGTTAGTTAACTCCTCTTTTTTGAGCATTACCTATCGATTTCTTTGTCATTTAGCCCCCAGGTGACCAATTATTGGAACTAGTATAATCTATGTGAGAGGCCAGCTGAGCCCCTAATATCTTAGTGGCGAAATTGTTGTCGTTAAGTGTATAACTGAATGTCGAAAATTCGAGTCTCTGAGGAGATATTATTTGTTTCATTGTTATAGACATGCCTTGCTGATGAGAACGAAAGGCAGGCCCAGGGTCTATAGCTACTTTATATCAACTGAAAACGTACTGAAGTGATTACTCTTATGGCTTGTTGACGTTGCCGAAGAGTTAGTTGAATTTCAGGAGAATCGAACGCACTCATAACGTCCCTCCACAGGATCATAACTGTATAGAGTAGCATCCTATGAGGCAACTACTTGGGTATCCATTCCGCCAGTTAATTAATTGGAAAAGAGCAGTCAATGCATCGATAATTTAAAAAAAGACGACTTACGTTCTCTAGGAGTTCCACTACGAGGACCGTTTGTTGTACGTAAGTTATCCACTTCACTGCCAAGATCTCCAGTCAAAGCAATAGGATTACGTAATGGCTCTAAAAATTGAATAGGATAGGTATAACAAAACATTATCAAATAAACATCGAAAGATGACAATACCAAGAGGAGAGAGTTTAAAAAATCAGAGGAGACCTCTTAAAACCTGCGCGGGATTCTAAACAGGGCAAGAATAAAAGTGTCATTCAAATCCTTAAATGATTTAGAAACAAACTACTTGGATTAGATGATCATGTGGCATCCATTAAACAAAATAATTTAGTTTAGTGAGGTCAAATACAAAGGTCAAAGTAGTGAGCCAGGTTCAATTGGACTAGTGGAGTGCAGTCTGGAATGGTATACCCTAATAAGCTGAGAAATCCGGAAAAATATTCAGCTATAGCATTACATACCTGACCTTTAACAACAAACCGTCAGTAGGAGAGACCAAAATCACTTCCAAGCAAACCACGGTCAAATCGAGTAGGCAGCACAGACATTCATTACTCTGAAATCGATTCGAAAATCTACAGTGATCATCACAAAGAACAAGATTCTAGCCCTGTTTAACACTAGTGACACGTCAGTGCTTCTATAGGCTTCAGAGGCTTGGCTTATTAAACATAAAAGCATTTCCAGCAGACTACAGAAGAATTCCATCAACACCTGCTCCCACCTCATACTGAAGATAAATGGCCGAAATGGTTAACTAAACAACAAGAAGCTCTAACAGTCAACCAGCTAACAACATATTGTCCAAGAAATATACAGAAGTAGATGGAGATGAACGGGATATACTCTGAGGAAACATTCAAGTGACATTACTAAATCAGGTTAGCTCTTGAGTGAGCGAGCTGAGCCTCCTGGATCAAGGCGTGGCGTAGCAAATATTCTGTGGAAAGAAAATGAAGGCTAGTGGGTGGGAAGTTGTGCAGCCAGCTGAGAATGATGCCATAGAAACCAAGTGAAATGTTGATGTGCTGTTCGGGTTGTGTGTTCACTGGAAGCGTAAGAAACGAATAATGGTCCAGCATTATTATGCTCCGGACAGTGGGAAACGAGAAGACAGGGATATCCTGAACCGACGTGAAGAATCTAGAAGACCTGGATTTCGCGCGTGGATGATTTATGTTTGATGTCACACAAGATCGAAGACTTACAAGAGAAAACCGACAAACTGGTCGAAGAAGCAGCAGAGACAGGACTCCAGGTGAACATAGACAAGACGGAGGTTATGAAAATAACCAACCAACAACAACAACAGCAGCAACATCCAGCGCCAATCACCATCAACGGGAGGGATTTGAAAAAAGGTACTTCATTCACTTATCTAGGGAGCATTGTCTCAACTACAGGAGGAACGGACAAGGATGTCAAATCGAGAATCGGAAAGGCAAGAAACACATCTATCAACCTGAAACAACCAATCTGGAAATCTCCGTCACTCAGCATCAACAACAAAATTCGAATTTTCAAGACAAACATCAAGTCAGTCAGTTCTTCTATACAGATCAGAAACTTGGTGGGTCACCAAGAATATTTCGAACAGCCTGTCGCAGACCTTTATCAACAGCTGTCTTCGTTCTATACTGAAGATCAGATGGCCGGAAAGAATCACCAACAAGAAACTATGGGAAGAAACAAAGCAAGAACCAATCGTCCGACAAATACGCAGGAGAAAGTGGAGGTGGATTGGACAGTCAATCGCTGAGGAGGCCGCTGGGTGATATCGCGCGTCAGGCCAGTGCTCGAGTGGAAGCTGAAAGGGAATCGGCGAGTGGTTCGTGGGTGCAAGGGTGACACTGAAGAGATCGTGTGAAGAAGAGTTGAAACAGTATGGACTAACATGGATGCAGGTGAGATAGTACAGCAGAAGAGAGAAGCAAATGGAGACGTGCAGTTGAAGCCCAATGTTCCACCACGAACCCAAGGGAACAATAATAATAAATGATTATCGTGTGGGTGATTGAGTTTATTCTTTTGATTCCATTTTTTTCCTAGTGGGACATAGTGCTCCAAGCTAGAGGATTGAAGTATCGGTAGCAGTGGTACTTTATTTCTGTGGGATGGAGTTGCTAGCCTCATGCCCAACCTTAGACAGGTAATGCATAGAACGAGGATCGAACCCCGGACCCCATGCGTAGTCGGCGAGCATTCTACCGCTATGCCACCGACTCGAGAGGGATTGAGTACATCACCAAATTTCTGCAAGTAATGATTTCTTAGTTTAAAAGTATTTTACTCATATACGTCTCAATCTTTAGGCCAGTCTAATCTAATTAAGTAATATGGTTCACTTAGACTCGTCCTTTTCTTTCAATTTCACAAAATAATTTATCTTTATTTATTATAGAAGTGATGAGTGAAGTTAGAAAGGAGCCTGCCTCACATAAACAGGATTCGAATGAGTACCTTCTACGTTAGAAACCAAATAATCTACGGAGTGAACCTTGAGAAGATCGACAGCTACGTATATCAGTTTAAATAGTACATTGTAAAAATCTTAGTCAAAAGAACACTGGAGAAGTACTAGAGGCATGTTAATGAAATCGATTTGTAATTAATAAACATGTGGATGCAGAACAAATTTGCCAGTCAATAAAAAGGTCTAATATCAGATCGTCGAGTGGATAGATATCCGTGTAAGTAAGGAGATCTATGGCATAACCAGTCACAGTGAAAGTGACAGATGAATGTCTCATCTATGAAGAATTTCTAAAGCTCACCTCACATTAAGGTTAGCGTTAAAAATGTTGTCCAGAACGGAAATGAAGGCTTGACACTTATACCAATCAGAAACTCAGAGAACGCAATAGCACCAGAACATTCGGTGGCTTGATTTCCATCACGAACGAAAGTTAATCAGAGAGATAACTGGAAACCACGGAGCACTGAATATCTGTTCTACCATAATCTGGGACTGTCCAACACAGCGCACCTACCACCCAACTAGACCTCGAACCCAGAAGTTTCAGATTTTGAGAACAAGCTCGTTCTACCATTCAACCACTTGGGCTGGATTCCAATGACCCTTAATATTAACTTTGTCAATTCATGGTATTCAGCTGCCCTCACAAACGACTTCAACGAGCGTCCACTTCGCCTTGAGGTGGTGGACCTCTCTGGTTCAATAATCTGAACAGCAGAGATGCTAAAAATATTCATTCTACCGTTGAAAATTCGGTTTGTAAGTCATTTGTAATAGCTTCACTGTCATTTATCCAAAGATTTTGGTTTTGTAGTTTTCAGTCGCCTAGCTTCATACACACTCCTGGACGTCAAATCCTTCATCTGAGAAAATAATTACTTCTGAAAGGGTGACCATGTCATCGAACATTATCTACTAAACCCGTATATCACATCTGCTGTTCTTCGCAGCCACGCACGCACACACACACATACAAACGCAAGCAAACGCCCACACACTCAGCATCAAAAATAAGATCCGGATTTTCAACTCCAATGTGAAGTCAGTGCTACTTACTACACGGATCAGAGACTTGGCCAGCGCGTCATAAAGAGCATCTCAAACAAACTACAAACCTTCATTAACAGTTGTCTTTGCTCAATACTCAAGATCAGATGGCCAGAAAAGATCAGCAACAGGGATCTCTGGTAATGAGCGAACCAACCAGGAACCAATTGTGAAACAAATAGGCAGGAAGAAATGGAGATGGATTGGCTGGCCATACTCTGAGGAAACAAGCCATCAAGTGACATCACTAGACAAGCCATCGCTCGAGTGGAATTCGAAAGGGAAGCGGCGAGTTGGTCGTCAGTGCAAGGGTGGGTGACTTGGAGGAGGTCATGTGAAGAGGAGATGAAAACGTGTGGGCAGACTTGGATCCAGGTGAAGACTCTAGCAGAGAACAGAACGCAATGGAGATGCACGGTTGAAGCCCTATGTTCCTGTAGGAATTAAAGGATACAATAATAATAATAAACGCCCACACAGACACCAACACACATGCATACAAAGGAAAAGGTCCAAAATAGCAAGAATCAATTGTAAACTTTACTTATTTACAGCTGAAACAAGTGCAAAACTCTGAATAATCCTGTTTTTTTCTTGTATGGAAGAAAATCAAAGCTCTGCATACTTAGTCACTTTTGTTTTGGGATGGATATTGATTGATGAATGTGTGTACGTGTGTGTATGTGAAAAAGACACACAAAAAGAAGGCAGGTGAAAGTAGGATGGCAAAATATTATAAGGAAAACAATAAGAGAAATGATCGAGGAATGTTATTGTTGTCATGTGGATAGTATGTGCTTCTTCAGAGAATCTTTCTTGTGTTTACAAACATGCATACATACGTAACCACACACGCACATAAACAGACTGACATTTATACTGGCGTTCATCATCTCCCTTAACTTGTGTGCAATAATTTAACTCTCCAGATTATTATCTTTATGATTCATGTTTTTTTGTTTTGGTATGTTTCATCCACTTTCCTCTTTTAGGAATCAGTTAAAAGTCATAAAAGATAACAGAGAAAACGTCTTTCTTCTCCGTCGATTTTCAGGTAGATGAAATTTTGGAGGTGATTTAATTGTGACTTTAACTGGCACAAAAGCACTGAATGCTTTTAACGTCAAAGAGAGGAACTAGTATATGAACCAGTATTGCGGAAAAGCACGGGAAACACCAAAAGAAGACAAGGAAAGACAATACGAAGTGCGGAAGGAGCACGGTGTGGAAGGTCTGTGCAAACTATTTCCATATAAAGTGTTCATAATTTACCTATTGTGCTTTTGATGTAGTTGTGTTCTCTGAGCTGGATAGTTAATTTGTGAAGCTTTCATCGCCCCACTAGGCGACATCTTCAGCGCATACTTCAATATGTTGAAGTGAGCTTTTAGATTTCTCCACGAGTTTATGAATCATCTCTCCTCGTGACCTTGGACGTGATTGGTTAATTGTATTGGAACTCATTGTTTCTTTGACTTGAACTTTGACTCTTTAAGTGTTAGGAATCAGAGAACTAAATTCCATTTTTGGACGTCTTAGTCAAGCGAACAACCACAGGGGAATTAGAAACTCAAGTTTATGGAAAATCAACTCACATAGACCAAATCTTGAATTACAACAGCAATAATCCAATAGCACACAAGAGGAATTGCATAAAAACACTATTCAAGAGAGCCAGGACTCATTGCAGCACTCCCACCTTAAGGAAAATTGAAGAAAGATATCTCATGGACGTCTTCCAAAAGAATGGATATCCATGGGATTTCATCAAAAGACATATACCCCCAAGCCAACCTATCAAACCAAAAGCCCCCAAGGAAAGCACAAGGAAAATCGCCTTACCATATATAAAGGATATCTCAGAAATCACTACAAGACTCTTCAAACCCTTAGGAATTGACGTCACACGCAAACCAACAAAGTCACTACACTCAATTCTATGTCAACCAAAATACTCAACTGCGAAAGAAGATAAAACTAACATCATCTACAAAATAGATTGTATCAACTACGAAAAATACAACACTGGCCAAAGTGGACGTCCCCTTCGTCTTCGTATCCACGAACATAAGCTAGCCGTCAACAGAGATGATATCGACTCCCTCATATCGCTAGATACAGACAACCACGGACATCAATTTGATTGGGACAATGTTCAAATCTTAGACAGAGGAAACAACAAGAATGCTAGAGAATTTTTAGAAGCCCGCTTGGTATTCCAGTGAATCGTCAATCCATAGACACATCGAGATTGACAAAATTTATCAACCGATAAGAAAGAAACCTCACACACCAAGGATCAAAGTTCAAGTCAAAGAAACAATCAGTTCCAATACAAGTAGCCTAGAAGGTGTGGAAACACACAAAAACAACCAATCACGTCCAAGGTCACCAGGAGAGATGATTAATAAACTCGTGGAGAAATCTGAAAGCTCACTTCAAATTGAAGTATGCGCTGAAGATGTTGCCCAGTGATGGGGGCGATGAAAGCTTCACAAATTAACTATCCAGCTCAGGGAACACAACCACATCAAAATCATCCACCTGAGCTACAAATCTTCCCCATCATATTTATCTATTGTGTATTATCAAATTCCACGTTACTAAGTCATTTATCTTCTCTCGTTGCACTACTATTGATTGTGCTTATACTATATTAGTGTGAGAGTAGTCAAATAAGCCCAAAATTGAACAACAGATTTATAGCTATGCAGTTGTGAGTTGTGTGTGTACCACTGAGAAGAATGTTTAACTAGTGTATTGTTCGTTCAATGCCTCTATTTAGTTCACAGACTTGACGTGGTCGCGTGCGAGTCATCTAAAGCATTTCTAGAAGGCTACACTTATTGCAGACTTTCTTCAAATTAACTTGATAATGAAGGTCATATAGTCAGAAAAGAATTACCAAGAGACACAAGAGTCTAACAAGCACAGAACTAACTAAACCAACCTATGATTCAGTCAATATACAGAAGAAAGGGAAAATCGACTGTATATACGCTGAGGAGATACTCAAGTCGTATCACACACCAGATAAACCATTTAGAGTGGAAAGTGAATAGTAGGCAAGCAAGGATTTGGGTTTAAGTTTAAGGATCACTTAAAGAGGTAGTAAAGGCTTGCGTGCAGTCGGGTAACCATCCGACATTAATGTCAGGGAGGCGAATGCAATGGCGATGTGGTCCTGGAAAGACAGATTCAGTTGCAAAACAGAAGAAATGAAAGCCAAAAGAAACAGAATATGTATTTATTTTGTAAAACTGGATTAAGGCTAACAGGTACCTTAGACCTGCCGTTACATAAGAATAATGGCGGAACGATAAGACAAGTGAGACCTTTCTGTAATTTAGTTAACTGAATTCGGAAACCTTGATTATAAGTCAGTATCGATTGTGACCGTGTGAATGTGAGAGATTAGTTCCACTTGAGAGTTTTAATAAATTAATTTCAGTTATGAAATCATTGAAAGAGATGGATCGTTAGACAGGCAAGTTCTACCCTTGATAAGTAATGACTATGCACCGCTGAAGAGCATCATGATGGCATGAAACGGCCATCCAATGCAAGCTATCTTCTAATGATTTCTCAAGGAATGTTGACTTATCACCAAAGTTCAAAAAGTGCGTAATTTCAACCTTTCACTAAGACTCTAAATTTTTGTTTGTTGTTGATTTAAAGAACTCAACTGCATAAACATTTGTCAATACATGGGTTCAACATGACGATATACTATTATTATCTATATCGGAATCAAGATCAGTTTTTTCAATTTCGATAAATTATTAATGGTATGTATGGTGTTTTCAGACTTCTTAAGAAAGTCTGTCAGAGATTACCAGCTAGAAACATAAGGATTCAACAAAATATCTCCTCTTTGTCATGTTTTCTTTGGTCCACTTTAGCTGGCGAAATGATTGCCCATTGTCTCTCATCTCCTCCTCACATGATCTCCTCCACATCACCCTTGGACACACGCACAATTCGTCGTCTCCTATCCAGGTTCCACTCTAGTGCTTGCCTGATGCTCGACGTCACCTGATGGTCTCTTCAGCATATGACTACTATCTCCAATTTCTTCAGAATATTTGTTCAGCAGTAGGTTCTCGATTGGTTCGTTCACAGAGTTTCTCGTTGCTTATCCTTCCTGGCCAGCCGGCTGACCATTTGATCTTAAGTAAGGAGTCAGCGAAGTCAGCTATTTACAATTGTCTGCAGTAGCCTATTTGAAATGCTCCTCGTGACGCCTAAGCCAACTGTCTGACTCACATAGAAGCATTATCTGACTTAACACTGGTGTTGAAAATCTGAATCTTGTTCTTGATGCTACAGACAGCAGAAAATTTCCCAATTGATTTCAGAGTGCTGAAGGTTTGCTTTGCCTTTCCGACTTAGATACCAACAGCCTAATGCCGCTCCCTCTTGTCATTCCAGCTGTGGTTAAACTGTAGTTAAAAAAGCTGAGATTTATGGCTAGCTGTACGGTGAGACTGCCTAGTGAAAACCGACCGTTGGTGTTGGAGTCAAACACCTGGTTTCAGAATTATCAGGGAATGTCAACCTTGAGTACATGGAATTGAATGTTGTCATGGGGTGGGACGCTACTGTGTCTGAAAAAGATAAGTGTTGTTCAATGAACCTTTACCAAGGAGATACAAATCACAAAATCAGTCTCATCTAGGTAACATTATAGTGCACATTTTCAATTCTATTTTCCCCTATAACCGCTTATACTACTTATATATATGAAATTGATTATCACTCTTTTAACTTCTAATGACAAATTAAAACTCAACTCACGTTTTGTTTTCTTCACAGTGTGTCCATTAGTCTGGCTAACCGATGCAGCATTATCGACATCCCATGCAATCAGTGTAGAATTGAAACCTGTTGTAAAATAGAGACAGACGGAGAATAAGCAATAGAAATCAATGTAAGAGTCTGCATCTAAACTCTACTTACTTTACATGTCTGATGGTAACTTGCAGTGGGATTCAGGAGGCAGGTTTTTTCCCATTTAGGAAACTTTGGACGGATAACGCTTTGTCGTTTGAAACGACGGTTGATGGATTTAAGTCTTAATGAAAAGACTATCATTTACTGGGGATACCGTCGAACCCAACTGACGAGTCCTGAAAAGAACGAAATGCATGTCTAAAAATCAACTTCTGACCGCTACTGACAAGTAAAATGGCTATACTACCCGTCTGAATAAGTCTCTTTCTTCCCTACTTTTGATGCATCCTTTCAGTAATTGTGTCTGTAACTCAATTTCCAAGAGATTCCCCATTGGAGACATTAAAATATATTTTATTATATTCAGGTTTGGTTCGCAGGGATTTGATTGTTTACAAGATTTCATCATGAATTGACGTGGATTAGAGAACCATTGAGAACCAGAAGGGAGCACTGAACAGTTGTTTCGCACTAGTTTGAGACTACCAGCAGCGCGCTCCTACCAAGACCTTCAAGCTACAAGGTGAGCTCGCAGACTGTTAACCACCTTGGACCCGATCCACTGGCCAAACCATGAATCCCAACTTCTGTCAATTCGTAACATAACGCAACCACTATCCAGTGTCACTGCTGGCGAGTATTTTTTCTCACACCCGACCTGATGTAGTTTGTCACTGTTACCAATATTTTGACAACGATAATATGAATACTGTCGTGGGTGAAGTAAATCAAAGCAAAGTCAACAACTGTTGTAAGTTCATAGTACACTCCCTGGATATTTCGATTACTGCTGGCACACAAATCTGCTTACTAAATGTAACGGTTAAATTGTTTGAAAAATCCCTATCCATAAACGATATAATCCCAATATTTCTACTTGTTTGGACGTTTCAACTGACTTCATAATTAGTATCCAACTTTCCCCTAAACTGTATATCATTATCCTGACATTTGCGTATCTCAATTTGATTTGATCCTTGCCATTTGTCTTTGTCACTGTTTAATCTCTAATGTTAATGCTTCTCTTTGTGGTTGTGTGATTATTTTGATAGTGTTTTTTTACGACCTTCTGACTTTCGACTCTCTGCGGAAAGCGTTGGTGTGTGATTCTTGTGGACAGAGGTTTTGATCCCACCTTGTTGGGAATGTTCAACATGACTCCAAGTACCTGTTTTGTACTAAGTCGCTCAATGGCACCACTGAGGTAATTTTAAGATTTGGATGTTCTAGAAACGAGCAATCGTCTTTTTGAGGTCTTCGGAGCGTTATGTGACTGTTCATCTCTCTCAAGAAAGTATCAGACTGCTATGCAGAGATTAGTTCCCTGCTTTCAGACCACAGGGAGTCGATTTTGGTCGCTACACAAGATAATCCATGACACCGACCTCAAACCTCTATGTGAGTAACAATACGCTATATTATATTCATCCCCTCAATGAAACTACGGCACTAGAATCTCTGCCAACACCTTCAGGATTCCCAAAAAGCTTTTACCTTCATCTCACGAGACTTGTTTCATGTCACCCTCAAACCCACATCCAACTCGTCGTTCGCTTAACATTCACCTTTCACTCGACAGTATGATGTTTGTTGTCACTCACCAGGTTTCTTAGAGTCACCCAATCCATGTCCACTTTATTCTGCATATTTTATAAGCCATAGATTGCTGACTAGTTGGCTGCCAGAGTTCCTCGTTATTCTCATGAAATTACATACTACTGATTGGTTGAGATGAGTAGCTGAACACCACTCATAACAACCAGTAGTGCTTGCTAGCCAAGCTGAGATGAACTAAACAATGGATAGTCGTCTCGCTCGTTTTGAGCCGGTTCCTCAGTGGTGTACCCGGTTTTGATCAGTTCACAGAGAGCCGAATCAAGTGTAACCACATGGGTAAACTGGTGATACCATAAATCAAACTGGTTAGCAATCTTCAATCTTCACAGTTCCCGTGGTGAAATTTCACTGTGGTTTCCTTGTGATCCAGATCACAATATATGATCTGCCTAATACCGACTTGTTAACCAATTTGCCACTTGTGAACTTGATTTCTGGTATAACAAATTGGCCCAAGTGGCTAGCCAAAAATCAGGTACTTTAAACTATTCCGGCTCTCTTAGCTAATTCGAACCGAATACATCCCTGTTAAGCTCCGTCGTCCAGTGTTCAGATCACCTCATCTGACTGGCAAGCACCACTGCTGTATATGAATGGCATGCAGCTACTCATCTCAGTCAATCGATAGTGTATAATTTTGTGCAAATATGCTTGTTTTCTTGATAACCATTTATGGTGTCATGATGATCACATATTGCGATCAGAATGACTTGAATTCTTAAGGAAACCACAATGAAACTTCGTCAATTCATTGTTACTTGGTTGTCGTTTCGTGTGCGTCGGTGGCACAGTGACTAGGACTCTCGCCGACCATGCACATGGTCCGGGGTTCAATCCCCTGCCGGCGCACACCTGTTATCAATGGTTGGCCTGCAAAATTTGGGCTACCGATACCACAAGCTGAAAATTCCATACTTGTACCAAAAATATCGTATGGTTTCAGCTGTAATAAAAATATCTAATCTTCAGTTTGATGTCAGTAAAAGGGGCATGTATTGATGAAGGTCTGCAGTAATCTGTTAGAAATGTTTTTGGAAATGGATCGCCCCAAGTCCCTGGAGCATATAGAAGGAATAACTGAACATTAGTGTTAAATACCAATTCGGATGGTATTCATCTTTCGTAGATCTCCACATCGACTTTAAAATAGTGAAAGCCCATCTTACTTTCCTGCAGTGGACAGTTTTTGACAACTTTATCCCAATCACCTGTAGTTCAGTGATGCTGACCAGATAGGTGAAAGTGTCAGCACCCAACAGACATCTCCAACGAAGGCTTACAGTGAATTAGAAGTCTCCCAGGGGTTGATTTTTGAGCATCAGTCTAAAATATCAGTATCTCCCCATATCATAAACCAAAAAACACAAAACTGATTTCATATTAGGATGTGATCGATATAATATCCCACCAATTTATTGATCAAAAGGGAACTAAATAGTACCACAGATAGTTAAATCATAAAAATTCATTATATAAAGACTTTTTAACAATGGAACTCAGTAGGATCTATCGATAGAATTGTTTATTTGGCAAAATGATGCACAATAGTGACGAAATGTGAAAGTCCTACACTGGAACTCTGTTTTTCCTCTTCAATTCATGCCTTCCATATTGTTTCCCAATGATCTCTGTCCCTCCTAATCTGCAATTATTCAACATTCTTTAAAAGGACCTCACCAACATTTGTTTCATTCCTTTACGTTCACAGTGGAACATAGGGTGGCTTCAAGCTCGAGGCGTAAAATTTCTGTGGCAGTGGTGTTTACTTTTACGGGATGAGGTTGCTAGCCTCATGCTCAACCTTCCCTCTTTACCAGTCTTATTACTCGCTTAGCGAGGTAAAGGAGTGCATCGGCCAGGGATCGAACCTTGGACCACAGGCGTGGTCGGAGACCATTCTACCGCTCTGCCACCGGCGTACACCTCACCAACATACTACTTATAAATATCTTGGCAGTAGCTAACATCACACTTTGAAATGGAATACGAAAAATGGAAATTCCAGTTAACTTATAACTTCTCTTCTTGATATAATTATATTTGTATGTGTGTAACTGATGAAATTGTAACTCAGAATCTGTCAGTTAAACCATTTCATAGTTAGTAGTTCATTGATCTGAGATCAGAGATCATGACTTGTCTCTCAAACATGCCCCATTTCCTTTATTCACTTATCATTCAGATAAAGTTAGTTAGATTACACATATACATAATTAAAATACCCATCTATTTATTCTTTGAGATAATCAATAAAGTTATTTGAATAACATCAATCTTATCGATTTGTTTCATCTAAACCAATTCAAACAAAACAATAATAATAGTAATAACAACAAAAGGAAGGAGTATACTGATATGCTGATCAATAAGATCATGTATATACACAGGTAATATGGAGTATAATGGGTTGAAGTTTCTTTCAGTGATGGAAGAACACAGAGCGAGTCAGATAACAGTAGCTGAAAATTAGTTCATTTTTCTAGTAAAACTAATCTATTACATGTATTGATCTTTTTTCTCTCTCTATCCCTCTCTTTCTAGTTTACAAGTTCTCCTTATCATCATGAAAAATAGTAAAAAAAACAAGAACCTGACTCACCTGGTCTACCAACTGAAGAATGTCTTGTACGTCCAAGTTCTATATGTTCTTTTGGAAGTGTTCCAAGCCCAGTGATTGGATCTCTTCGAACTGCTGTAATGTGTAATAGACACACAAACACACGCAGATGAAATTGGTTAGTGGCTACACTATAAATCGTAGACTCTTAGAAGTAGGATTCTATCATGCAGGCTAAAAGCTGTGCCGATTCATTTCGCAACCTGAAAGTCCTGGGCTAGATGTCCAGTAAGATAAGGGGTGAGTACTGTGAAGAATCCCTGACTTGGACGAAACAACCGTCCGATACTCCCTGGTTATCACTGGTTCTGTGAATGATGGCAATTTGAGATTTAGTATGAAATCCATCAACTCCCTGTAAACCAACACTTCAAGATGCACGAAGACTTGACTTAGCTTCAGGGGAACTATATTCATAAACGATAATCACTCAGTCAGCCAGTCACTCAGTCAATGGAAACAGAGGAGAATTTGACAGCTGTTTCTTTCAGGTGGGTACAAAGTCCGATAGTCTGTGGTTTCTCATCTTTGGTAATTGGTGAATTCCATCGACCAATCAAGTTCACTTTTGCTGATGTAAAGAGTGTTGACTTAAATTCACGCCACTGAAATAACTACCTAATTATCAGTCGGACCTTATAACTGATCAGCTGCCACTCTAGAGTGGTAATTCACGAGCTACTGATTCGAATCCGGTAGAGACTCAGACTTTGATTATGCCTTCAAGCACTACGCACTACATAAGTAAGATTCTTGAAGTAAATCGGTGCGTTGGTGGCACAGAGGTTAGGACTCTCGCCGACCATGCAGATGGTTCAGAGTTCGATCCCCTACCGATGCACATCTGATATAAATTGGTCGGCCTGCAAAATTTGGGCCACCGATATAACATGCTGAAAATTCCATACTTGTACCAAAATACTGTGTGGAATCAAGCTATGATCAAAATTCCAATGATGACCAGCAGTGGGATCAACGACAATGCGCATTTCGCTCTACTTGCGATTCGTCAACCGGATGCAACCTGCGCTCCTCAGCGAATGATGGTGTTCCCACTGAGGCTCGAAGCCAGTCAAAACCCATAGTTTCAAACGCCAAAGCGTTATCCACTAGACCACTTGGGCCACGAGAGCCAACAACTCCTGTACAACGGTCATTAGTTATGATTTAATTCAATTTGGGCCTTCCCGTTGATTCATTGGACTGAAGTTCCCAACTTCCTCCTGCAGATGCCTCGAAGATGTTTGACTATTTAACTTGGAGTAAATAAATCAACTGGAATGTCCAAAATGAATTAAATAAATAAGATTCTGTTTAATGGGTGCTAAGGTCACGTCTAACCAAGTATCCATACGACGAGGCTAAATAAGGACGAAATATGCGCCCTGGATTCCACTGCTGGTCACCATTCATCTATCAACTCAAATATTCTGACCACTATTTGTTTAAGTACTCAATGGCTATTCAAGGTTCTCAAAATTAAATCAAACTCATGCTCTTCAGTTGCATTTTATCCGCTCCGCTTTTTGCCTCATAAAAAATAATGACCTCGTAAGTGGTGTTAAACTCAGTAGATAACAACTCTCAGTAAAGGGTTTGAGTGTTTTTCTCTCTGTCTCTCTTTGAACGTATTTTAGAAAGGAAACAGGTAACTGGGCTAACTTATATAGTCAGTTTAGCTTTTTTTTCATAGAGAGAATAGGCATAACCTACCACTTAAGTTATGTCAATCAGTTAAGCTTGTCATTCCTAAGGTCATACTGAGAAAGATTATTGGGGCAAACATTATAGAATTCCAAGTGACTTCCCCCCCCCCTCTCATTTTTTTGCCAAATAAGTAGTTTTTACTCAGGTCATGTAACCTTAAAATATATGATAACTGATCAGGAAGGGAGTCTTTGTGTACTTCCTTCCTTCATTTATTTATTGCTTTAAGTGTGAACTATAGTGGCTACCAGAGTTACCTAGGAAGTGCATTTCCTCCACACTTGACACTTACCGTCCGGAGTCTAAACATTAATCCGCCTAATTTAATCCCTATGCTATTTTTTTACTTTTATCATCCGTGTGGAAAACTACTACTGCATTCAGCAAAAGGAATTAGGTCTGGATCTTCAACAGTATTGTCAACTTAGCTATCCAAGAACCCATATGTCGAAGGAAATGGAGATGGACTGGACATCACAAACACCATACAGACTCTCGAGTGGAATGCCAATGGGAAACGATGAATTGTCCTTCGGTGTGAGGGTAAAATAGAGGAGATCGTGTGCGAAGAGAGTAAAATCTTGTGTGGAATTGTTTAACCAACTAAAAAAACACCAGAGAACAAGGATAAGTGGAGATGTGCTGCTGAATCCCTATGCTCCACTCAAAACACATCGGAATAATACAATAGTGATAATTTAGACAGGTAGAATGAAACCGAAGAATTATATTAATTTTCTTATCTTTTAATTTTAAGCAAATAACATCAAAATAATGCTCACTGCTAAAAATTTAACAGGTATTGCTCAATACCCTAATGGATAGTCTATCTATAGGAGAAACAGTGCGTACTGTATCCGACTTTGAGTAGAAACACAACTACACACTTGGTTACTAACACATTTAACTAACGAGTTCTGATGAGATTAAAACAGGCGGCATAGATTCGACTGATAGTCACCACAAGTAAAGTAAAGTTGGAAGTTTTCTCTCTCTCTGATATATCGCAGTAATAACCAACTGACTGCGAATAAAAACCAATTTTTACTAGGTCCCAACACCAATTCAGTCAGAAGAATTCCACCCAGTAATATTCCCATTTGGTCACTTTCACCTTCTTTGATCAGTGTCTTCTCTGTACATGACTAGCACTGACAACTACTGTTCCCCACTCCTTCCCTTCCAAGTATAACATAAGGCTTCAAGCTTTTAAGTTGAAGTAGCGTTGACTTGCTATCAGCTAACTGAGGTTTGTTGTGCATTTACTCGGAATCGAACCCTGACCATGTGCGTGGTTGATGAGCACTGTAACACTGAATTGTCGACCCACCAGATGGCTAGTAATTTGTACAGGCATCTGTGTACCATTCATGTGCATTAGATGTCGACGAATTCCTCCGTAATAAAAGTTACATAGTGTAGGAGTCGATATGACAAATTTTCAGGTTGATTATCTGCATACTGAAACCATACTGGACTCTTTCAGTTTTTAAACATCAGTTATAACTTATTTTGCTGATTGCTCAAGTGGTTTAGGATGATTCTGATCAGTTGACATTCACATTCATGTTGGATGGATGAATACTGTTTAAAAACAAACAACTCAGTCGAGCTTGGATATTCCCGTAGAACAGAACCTGTCTACAAAGAGAAAGGGGTCTCAGTGGTCATATTTTATGACTTCCGTATGACTGATTCTCTCTCCAGTGGTCACGACTTCTCACTACAACTTCAGAACATCCATCCAGTAGTCATTAGTTACCTGGAAATAGATATTCAGATTATAAGATGGACGGCTACCCTAAAGTGATAGTGAGAAATCGTGACCACTGGGGTTCACAATGTCAAGGCGGAGTGGGTGATCATTGAAAAGGCATTGATTGAGAGTATCGCTAAATCACTCATTGACAAAAGGAAGGAATTCAGGGTTCATTGAATCCCTTCGAACGGAAGTGGCTAGGAGGAATGTTTCACGACCTGAAGATCCAGTGTTTGATCCCTGGTTGAGATTGTGGGTACAACACACTGCTGTAGAGGCCTAGATTGGAGGGAATTAGCTATCTAGTGCCCCCTGGTTATCAAAGGTTTTCTAACTCATGTTGTGGTGAGAACTGGCTGCTAGCCAAATCGGTAGATAGTAATTTACGTCAATGTTTACGTCCTCAATATTGGTCGTGAGAAAAATATGAACAAAGACTGATTCAACAACCAACAACTACAGCAGACTTTGCGTAGGCGTATACACTTAGCATATAGATGATCTGACATTCAAGAAACAACCACAAAGAGATGAAAGATTACCTTTCAGTGAGAAACAACCAATCAGAAGACTGTGTTTTTCTGCTAGCAATAATCTATAATAATGTACATGAAAATCTATAAATATGTGTTGATTTCCTTAATGAACGATCTGTTGCCTGGCCCTTGTCTTCTGTTGTTACAATGTTACTTCATGACAAAATCAAAAATTGGAAATAATCCAAATCCTCCCAAACTGCACAATCTGTAAAAAGATTATTTCCTCTAAGTAGCGTTAACTCAACGCTAACCAATAATTCCTAACTCTAAATTAACTGTAATTCACCCTAACCTACCACCAGTCCAAACGTAATTCTAATTCCTGGTCATATAAGATAAGCACTTAGATGAACACTTCTGTAAGAAACTCGGAGATATTCTGATAAGATTTTAGAGAAAAGTATCCTATTTAGTATTCTTACACTTTTTTAGTTGAATACATATACCATTTATCACCTAATCTCAATAGTATTCTCTGATTGGTTAGTTGGTTGGTTAGTCGGTTCAAGGTCATTGAGGCATTCATTTGGCTGAGGTTTTAAAATTTAACTTCCGCCCTCAAGATTTGGGTAATGTTTAAGAAAATCAAAACAAGTCACAAGTTTATTTTAAGCCTTAATTGTCATCAGAGTAAATAAACTGCTTTTTATTATTATTCTAAGCCCTATTAACCTTGACATAAGTTATTTAAAAGTCCATAGGGAAACAAAACAAAAAAATGAGATTGAATTAAAATTCTTTGTTTAACTCCCTTAAACCAATTTTTTTAATACTTCTATAACTAAAACCACTTTTCAACAAATACTCATATGCAAAAATGTCACCTAGTTTACTGGTCGATTCTAAGCTCAAAAGAAAAGGGAAATTTGGGCGTAGGGATAGCAGTGCCACTCCGTAAAAGCAACACCGAAGAAATGAACTCATTCTCTTCTAGAATAGGGAAAAGTTCTCAATTCGAGAGTGAATAATACCAGTGATAGAAAGCCTGCAAGACGACAGTCCACCCGTTTTTTTTCGTTTTTTTATATTTTTTCACATTCCCAGTGGAACATAAGGCTTCAAGCTAGAGG